ATATCAAAATAACTCACCAAAGTCTTGTAATTCAACAACAACAACAATAATAATAAATGGTATATTAGTGGTGGTGGTAGTGATGTTATTTGTTATATAATAATAATAATAATAATAATAATAATAATAATAATAATAAATGTGGTGGTGTGGTGGTGTGGTGGCAGTGATTGTGGTGGTATGATGGTGGTGGTGGTGGCGGCGACGGGGGTGGCAGGAGTTGTGGTGGTGGTGATGGTGATGGTGATAGCGAGGTGGTGGTGTGACGTTGGTGTAAACGTTGGAAAATGACTTCCCAAAAAAAAAAAAAGGAAGTCATTTTCTTTCAAAACAAGCATATTTTCCAAAGTCAACGAAAAATGATTTCCGTTGACCTGATTTTCCAGGCACATCCAAACACTGGAAACCCGAAAAATGATTTCTGAAAAATCATTTTCTAGGTTTCCAAACACACCCTTAATGAAGGATGCTTTGGCAATTACCAATGACTTGTCACAAGCATTACAGAAGAAAGATCAAAACATTGTAAATGCCATTAGACTAGTTGATATCTCAAAACAAAGATTGCAAATGGTGAGAGATGATGGGTGGGAAGCTCTTTTACTAGAAGTTTCACTATTTTGCAACAAGCATGCAATTCCCATATATACCTAATATGAATGAAGTTTATATAGTTCCAGGAAGATCTCGTCGTAATGTTGAAGAAATGACTCATCTTCATAGGTACCGTGTTGAAAGGTTTTATGTGGTCTTAGATCTACAATTCCAAGAGCTAAACAATTGTTTCAATGAGAAGAATACAGAGTTGCTCTTATGCGTGGCGTGTTTTGATCCAATGAATTCATTTGCTATGTTTGATAAGGATAAGTTAATTCGATTGGCACAGTTCTATCCAAATGATTTTTCTGTTATTGAACTTGAGCTACTAGATAACCAACCAACTACAGACTTATTTTATTGATGTAAGTTCTGATCTTGCTTTCTCTAAATTGGATGGTATTGATGAATTAGCTCAAAAAATGGTGGAAACTATAAGACATTTGGACTATAAGTTGGTGTATTTTTTTCTAAAGTTGTCTTTGATCGTACCGGTTGCAACTGCTAGTGTGGAAAGAGCATTTTCTGCTATGAAGTTAATCAAGACATCTATACGCAACCGGACGGGTGATGATTTATTTATTACATGATTGCTTAGTGCCGTATGTTGAAAAAGAAATTTTTGATCAAGTTTCAAATGAAGCAATTCTACAGCGATTTCAAAATGTGAGAGAGCATAAAGGAGTATTATCCCGTAGTTCATCATAAACTTTATTTTGTAATTTATAATGTATTTTGTATTTTAACAATCGTATTTGTATTTGATATTTTGTATTTAAATCTTGGCTCCGTCCTGATGACCATTATCCCACTGCTCCTATTATTATGCAGCTAATGTATGTTATCCCTTTGTACACATATACAGAGAGAAGTTATTAATGAAAATTGACTGATATTTCAAGGGTTATGATCTTATTCTTTTCTCCTCTATCTTCTTTGATGTATGTTTGGATAATTATGCATATTCACACGAGGATATGTTGAAATGCACATTATTGTTATTATTATTATTATTATTATTATTATTATTATTTACTTGTTTATAGTAAAATTTAAAGTTAGTGATATATGTACCGTTTTAAAAATTGGAGGGTAACATTTACACAATTGATAATTCAAGAGTGACATTGATAATTGACATATTATGAAGGGACATAAATTACAATTTTTCTTAAATTTTATCTTTAAAATCTTAATATCCGCGTAATATCTTTGGAATAATTTTTAGCTTGACGTTTGTTATTGTGGTTTTGGCAAAACAACTTTGGGCCATAATTATGAAATGATTTGATGTGTGAATTGAAGTATTTAGTTGGGCACGATGTATGTATATATATTCAATGCAATCATATAATTGAAAAAGTCATATACTGAATTATATATATATATATATATATATATATATATATATATATATACATTTCTGCTTAAATGCGGCCGCACCTTCTATCACTGTTTCATCAGTTAATGATTTTTTTTTTTAATATAAAGTTCAAAAATTGTGAATATATATTCAAAAATTGTGTTATACTGTTGATATAATTATGAATATAGAGTTAAAAAATTGTGAATATAAAATTCTGCAATTATGAATATTGAGTTATGCAATTTTATATATTGAGATCTAAAATTGTGAATATTAAGTTCTAAAATTGTGAATATCGAGTTAAAAAATTGTGAATATAAAATTTTGCAATTGTGAATAACGAGTTATGCAATTTTATATATTGAGATATAAAATTGTGAATATTTAGTTCTAAAATTGTGAATATTTAGTTCTAAAATTGTGAATATAGAATTCAAAAAAAATGCGAGTATAGAGAAACGAATTCTAAAGACAAACAATTACAAGAAAATGAAACAATTTTTTTTTTTTTTAAAAATTCAGACGACAACGTTTTGAAGCAAAACGGCACTGTTTTAGACTCGGTCCACAACATAATTTGCGAATGTGAATGTGCCATAACCATATGAGGATATTTTAACAATTCACTAAGGCCAGATTAAATGTACAATGTATATATATTTAATAATAACTTTTTTTTTTTAATTTTCAGTCTTTAACTTTATAAGTTTTTTATTTGTAATAAAATATTTAAAAATTTATCCAAGTTTAATTATTTCTCATTTTATAAAATAAATATGAATTTATTTAAAATGTATTTATTTTCATCATCATACAAATGTGAATAGTAAGTGAATAATATATTAAGTAATGATAGTGCATTAGTAAAAAAAAAAGAGCATATAAATTAGACTTTTCGCAATCTTTCTTTTTTTTTCTTTTTTTTTTTTTTTTTTTTTTTTTTTTTTTTTTTTTAAGGTCACGTTTGGTTAAAAGAAAATGTATGGTAGCAAAATTGTAAATAATTAATAAGAAAATCGCAGCCATTTTTGTACTACGTACTGGTGGTAACTAGTAATTGTACAACAGATAAATAAATTGTGGGTAAAAGTAGGTAAATTAAATAATACTCCGCAATAACAATAACAATAATATATATACATACATACACAGAAGTGAGTATAACTGTATAAGTAATAATGATGATGAAAATGGTTGTAATGGTGTATAGATAGATAGAGGTAAATGTACTTTAAAAAAAATGCAATATGAGCTCATATCACCACTTATTTAAGTACATTTACATCTATAATTTGTAAACATTCACAATATTTAAGAATAATATGATATACCAGGACTGTGTGGTCTAATGGTACCGGGGTTGAACTTTCATTTGGAAGGTTGTAAGTTCAAGCTTATTTTTAATGATACTGAGGCACTTGCGATTAAAGAAACTTTATCTTGGATTAAGGATCGAGGTTTATTGAGGATCTCGATTTTTTCAGATTGTGTTGACGATTTATACTATGATAAATGGCACAATACTGGATCATTCTTATGCAGGTCGTGTGATTAATGAGTGCCGATATTTCAAACGGCACTTTGAAGATGTGTCTTGTCAGTTTAATCCTTGATCAGTGAATAAGTTTGCACACGCTTTAGTAACGGCAACTTGTTCTCAAGCTGGTTCTATTGTTTGGTTATCTTCTATTCCTGATTGTATTGCGTATCTTTATTAATAAAAGTTGTTTTTTTTCTTTTAAAAGAATAAAAAAAAAAAAGAAACTTAATAGGATGAAGGTTAATAGCGACGAGGATAAATGATAATGAAGAGGATTACATCATTTTGAAGAAACCGCCATCATAAAACAGCAAACAACAACAACAAAAATAATATCCATCTTACAATGTTGAAACAACTATCATTGTAATTTTTGTTTTAAATTGTTTTTTAGTTAACTTACATTTTGACAATGATTTTATAAAAAAAAATAACTATCTAAAGTTGTTATTTTAAAATAATAATTGAGCTTCAATGGTGGTTCAATCTATAAAATATTATCGAAAATAATATATATATATTTTTTTATCAATGATAATTTTCACGTAAAATCATTGTTTATACTTTTGAGAAAAAGTTATATGGTTAGATAGGAAATTTAAAAATCAAAATAAAATCCATGTTTTGTTGTAGTGGAGTAAGTAGGTTTATTAGTGACATATATATAACAAAAAAATGATGATAATAATAGATGATTATAGTAGTAATACTTAAATTGTTAGGTAACTAGTGGTATGTAAGTAATAATGCAGATTGGTAAGTGACCATAAGTATATATAGTCATATAGGTAATATCGTAACGGATAAAGTAGGTGAATGTAAATTTATGGTATTAAAATTTGTAATTTTGTATTATTGTAATAAAAATAATGATAATTATAAAATGAAATTATATATAATATTGTATTTAATTAAGAAATATATATTATATATATTAAGCTAAAATTATATTAACTATAATCTTATTATTACTTATGCATTTACATTGTAACTCAATCCAAGGCTTGAAAATGAACTTAAACAGAGGCGACAGTAGCATAGTATTATATTATACCACAAAAAAGGAACATGCGTACAATAGTATTAGTGAATTTACAAAATTGGCCCTACATCTCACGATCCGCGTACCAATCACGCCATTTTCTTCGATATTTCTTTATTAGATTACACGGCCCCTTACTGAACCGTCATAACACCAGGGTTAGCATTGTCATTACAGTCCTAAAGCGGAACACGTGCGAGCAAATTTACATACAAGTCCCAGTTGCGGAGATGTCGACACGCGTCCCCGCTGCCTCGGCAGCATCCCATCCAAGGGCCCGTATCTTTCCGCGAAGAAACACAGAGAAAACACAAAGCCAAAGAGGGCCGAAATGGAAAATCTTATCCGTCTCCCAGCCAATGGGGAGAGAGCACACGGATGGCTGACGTGGCAAAAGATTTTTGAAATCCCGCCCAAAGCCCGGACTTGAAATTCCATTCTGTGACTGAACAATAAAATTTTTTCTTTTCCAGTCCTCTGGAGCGCCCCTTCTTATCTCTCGCCCCCCTCCCTTTCTCACAAACACACAAGCCAAAGCATATCCATCCCTTCGTGTTATTGTCTTTCTCTCTCTCTCTCTCAACCCTAGAGGTAAACTCGCTACCCCTGCGGCGCTGACTCGCCCGAGTCTTACCGATTTCCGTCACTCCCCCACCGATTCTCACCGGTTTTCGTCGTTTCTTCACAGGTTTCGCCATGAAGGGAGGTAAATCCAAGGCCAAAGCTGATAACAAGTGAGTTTTCATCGGAATTCGTTTTATATTCGTTTGGATCTATCATTTTTGTGTGATTTCTGCGTTTGCGTTGATCATCTCGGGGGAATTTGTTTTCAATTGTTTTTTTTTTTTGGTTAATTTATATAGGCTTGCCGTGAAAAAGAGAGGCGGTGAGACTAAGAAAGCGAAGAAAGCTGTCAAGGATCCAAACAAGCCGAAGAGGCCTCCGAGTGCTTTCTTCGTGTTCATGTACGCATACATTAGATTCTCGTCTGCTACGGATCGATAAAAGCATATTTTCAATTTCTCGCCATATAATTGTATCAATTTTTTGATTCGATTTAGGGAGGACTTCCGCAAGACGTACAAGGAAAAGCATCCAAACAACAAGTCCGTTGCAGCCGTGAGTTTTTTTTTTTTTTTTAAAAATTTCAGATCCAAAATCTCCGTTAAAACTGTGTTGAATGTTTCGAGATTATTCGTTTTGACTTTCGTATTTGTTTGAATATATTGAAATTCTCTAGGTCGGTAAAGCTGGAGGAGACAAATGGAAACAGCTCACTGATGCTGTAAGTATATTGTTTATTATTCAATTGGATATTTTCTAAACAAAATTCTGATTCGATTCTAATATGTATTATTTGGATTAAATTCAGGAGAAAGCTCCTTTCATAGCCAAGGCTGAGAAAAGGAAGCAGGAATACGAAAAGAGCATGCAGGCCTACAATAGAAAACAGGTACTTTTTGTTTCCATTCACGCTTTCTTCTGTTAAAAGTTTTTGAATGTTTGAATAATTAATTAATAAAAAAATATTCATTTTTGGGAGCATAGGCCGGGGAAGCTGCCGATGAGGAGGAATCTGACAAGTCAAGGTCAGAGGTGAACGACGATGAGGAGGATGAGGACGGGAGTGCAGAGGTTTGTTGCTTTGATCTGCTTAATTTATTTTTAATTAAAAGTTTTAATTAATGCATTTGTGATTAATCACAAACCCTGTGATTTGTTTATGAACAGGATGATGATGATGACGATGATGATGAGTAAAGGAAATATGTGTCAGCTTTGTGTAGGGGGATCTGAAGAAATATGTGATGATGACCTTTCCATTAGTTTATAGCAGTTTCTCTTTCCTGTTTTGCTTTCTTTTGTTTTATGTTTTTTTCGGAAGGAGGGTTAGATGGGAAGGGGAAAGATTTACTTCTTAGACAAGTTAGAGCTGTTGGGAGAAATCCACTGCTCTGTGTACTTTATTATTATGATGATGATTACGTTTCTTCAATCCATTATGGTTAATGATAATTTCTTAGCTAGGATTTTGTCTTTTTTTGAATCCCTGATCTGACAGTTTTCCCGGCCGTCGGTGTATTTTTATTCCTCGGATTGGCCCGTTTAGTCAACTGCATATGGGTTTGTTTGTTTTGGGAGGAGATGAGAAACATGGGGAGAGGCGTTTCTGTATATGAATGATTGGATTATATGATTAGAATAGATACGTATTTTGTATGATTGGATAGGGGGATGTTTCCTCTCGTCATCATGCAAGTGGGTGTTTACACTTCGGTCAAACAAGTTTGAAGTGAGTTTACGTAGTCTTACTCAGACTTAACAAAAGGGTGTTCTTTTTTTTTTTTTTTTTGGTGGTTGAAAGGAATAAGGTATTCTTTTTAGATACATGAGATAATGGTTGTTACTAAAAGGTTGAGTTTTCGACCTCAAAAGCTTTTATGTCCTGGTCCGATAAGGTACAAACCCGGATCGGATGCCACAACTGGATTAGGAGTTTCAAGAATGGGTATCTGGACAGGATATAAATCATAATAATTTAATTGAACATAGAGATTATTTCACATTGTTGTTACTGGTGAGACTTGATTTTGGATTATTGTTTTCAAATTTTATCTTCGTGATTAATTGGGTGTTGTGCGTTTAAGGAGTCATTGCATGTGGACAAATTATATTGTGCATCGCAGTGTATAATTGATCCTATGCACCGCACATCAAGATGAAGACGATGTCATTTTGTTAAATTGTTAAATGAAAAGAAACAACATTCGTTTTTCGCCGTTCTGCACCCTTCCGCAAAAAGTAATTTTGTTATTCAGTTCATTTTGTATACACTGCAGTTTCAGTTCAACACAACTACAGTTTCATTTCGATAGTTTCATTCGATATTTGTAGATTCATATATTTTAAAATGTTATTTAATTTTATTTTATATACACTATAATTTTATTAAAACACAATTACATATGATCATTTTGATATAATTACAGCTTCATTGTACAATATACACTGAAATATGTGAAATGTTATTTAGTTTCATTTTATATACACTACAGTTTCATTTCACCACAACTACAGTATCATTTTGATATAACTACAGTTTTATTTGTCGTGGAGCAGTGTCAGTTTAACTATACTGTAGTGTCAGTTGTGTTTAGTACACAAAACATACGGACTCCGTTAACAATAACGACTGACCGTTTCTTTACTTAAAGAAACTGCGTCGTTTTTAACCGCGGTGCAAACATGCACCGCGATCTACGATATAACGATTGCTGCACGTGAGATTGGATCTTTCTGAAAGTAAAAATAGTAAACCCCAAACTGGCCCAAAGATCAATTCTTTAATGTCTGTCGAAAAGTTTATAATAATAATTTCATAATAATACCTTATTATTGTCCTTGCCTTGGTGGTTACGTTTAACTACGGATTGTCTATTTGTCTGTGTGTATGTGTTTCATTTTTTGAATTTATAAATTGGCGAGTAAAACAAAACGTTGAGACATAAACAGATCCTCTCTATCAAAAATATTATTTGCAGTTGCAATTTGTTTTTATACGTAAACTAAAAGGGAAAACTTTTGTTTAGTAATAGATGAATATTCAATCACCACACGTTGGAAATATTCACCACAATAGATGAAAATTAATGTTTTAATCATTGTAAATATTTAAATGAGTTAGGTACATACCAAGGATCTTGTGGTTCACTGGTACTAAGTTGCTATCTTGTGTGGGAGGTTGTGTCTTCAAATCTTATTAGAGGTGGACTACCTACCTAGTAGGTTGAGAAAGTAGTTATGCACAAATACAACATTCTAACATTGTTAGAAGTACTCAAACAAAATGTAGTTGTGTTTTAACTACAGCTTCTGTTGGTCAATTGAGAAAAAAATTTTATTTTCATTGTAGGCCCGATCCTACTAGAGTTAATAAAAAGTTTGAGGAAGAAAAAAAAACAAAAAATGGAAGTAAATGTTCTTAACTCTAGTAGGATCGGGCCTACAATGAAAATAAGAATTTTTTCTCAATTGACCAACAGAAGCTAGACTTTTGCTCCCTGCGTACAAAGAACTCCCCTCATTTTGAATCGTTAGTGAGATTCGATCCTTAGTCTCTTGTGACACATTTCACCCATGCGATCAATTGAGCTAGAAGCTTGTTTGTTTTAAAATCTAATGCTATGGGAAGAAGTGAATATTAGAGAGCTTTTAGTAGTGAAAAATATCGTTTAAATATAGGAGTGGAAGAATGGATATAGAAAGTGGGAACAGGGAAGTTGGAATTGAAATTACAATCATTATTGTGTCGACCAAGTTGTGTGAGCCATATTTGATATATTGTAAAATAATGTACATTCAATACAAAAATAATGTACATTATATTCAGGGGATGTACATTATTTTTATACTGAGTGTACATTATATTGTATAATGTACATTCAGTACAAAAATAATGTACATTTAGTATATTAAATATTAAAAATGTACTTTTTGTTATGGTTCATGTAACATTATATGGACCATGGTCCATACAATAATTTGCCTTGAACTTAATGTATTGATTGACGCTAACAAGTAACACCAATTATACTCTGGAACGCGGTCCAAAAACGGTGCCGTTTCTTTAAGTATAGAAACGGCGCGCTGTTATAGTTAACGGAACGCACATGTTTGGTGTATTAATTACCAACTGAAACTATAATGTATCTAAACTGACACTGCCTTACGTATTATTTTTATATTATCAAATGAAACTGTAATTAAATTGAAATGAAACTACAGTATATATAAAATGAAACTGAATAACATTTCACATATTGAGTGTATATTGTGCAATGAAACTGTAGTTATATCGAAATAATAATGTAGTTGTGTTTTAATGAAACTATAATGTATATAAAATAAAATTAAATAACATTTTCACATATTTGAGTATATAAAATATCGAATGAAATTGTAGTTGTGTTGAAATGAACTGTAGTGTATACAAAATGAAATTGAAAATAACAGAGTTACTTTTTGCGGAACGGTGCGAAACAGATACCATTTCTTTTCATTAAACAAAATGACGTCGTTTAGAAGCTCGGTCTATAATCCATTGTGCACCGCGGTCCACGATATAATTTGCCAACAAGTAACGAGTGAATTATTGTATTAAAGGGCTTACTATGACTAGAATAGCTGGCATATTATATCTGTTAACATATTATATTTACTTTTCGTGTGAAAACTAATTGTGATTTAAGAATCTGATTTCCTATTTTTATTGTTTACATTGCACAATATGTCATCTTTTAATAATATATTCTTTCTTCTACGGTTACAACGTTAACTTCCGTTTACTGACAGCTATGCTTGGTACAAAAGGATTTATTCGATTCAAATGGTACCCATATGGCCAATTCATAAGTTTTGTTTTGTGCTTAATAATGTAAATATTATTTTTTGGAATAAGGGTCAAATAGGTAACTTAACTACACATCAAACTGTAATTAGGTCATCGAATTAAAATAAATAAAAAAATAATTGGATCCTTACACAAGACAAACTCATACAATTCAATCAAAAATGACATGTTAACCTGAAAATATGGTGACGTGACGATTACCGAATTTAAAAGTAATTTTTTAAAATAATTTTAAATAAAATAAATATTTAAATTAAAAAAAACCACGCCGGAGACGAAGAAGTCTTCGCCTCCGGCTAGGTCCCTTCGTTTCCTGGCCGGAGACGAATGTACCTTCTTCACCACTGCCTTCAAACTCTTTGGCATTCTCCGGCAACTCATCTGTTTTACCACTGATTCCCTGTCCATTGAAAATATAAGAGAGAATATTTGAGTTTATAAGGCCATGGTTAGACTAGCTAATTATTAGTGTGGTTTGACCCATGTACATTATAGTCCAGTGACCGAATGCTCTTACACTAGAGGCGTCCATATTTTTCCTTTATTCGTTCAACAGCAGCAGCCTTTGTGTCCTGCACTGCTTCATTAACTTGATCTTCATCATTTTTGACCTTCATGCAATTAAAGTTCCCTGAAAAATGAAGATGACAAGTGAAAGGTCCTCTACTACTCCCATTTAATTTCTACAGCCATTCGTGTCGTAAACAAACAAACCTCTCATCGCTTTAAAGAAATTCCCCAGCTTCTGTTTTAGTGCAGCAAACATCGAATTTCCTTTAGCTTTACCCAAGTTCTCATCTTCAAACTCTGTGTCCCAAGGAAAATTGGGAACTGAAAAGATTGTTGACAACTCTTCAATAATTTCTTGTGGATCTTCAGTTGCTAGATTCTTTGCTTTGTGTCCTTTGAAGAAAGAGCCAAATGCACCCTATTTTTCAAAAGCAATATGAGGGTGGTTTCCTATAGAATCATGCATACTTCAAAAAAGTTGGGAAAATCTACCTTTTTCTTTTTTGTATGGATGACGGGTGCTGAAATAGGCCCCTTTCCATCCTTTATCTCTGTATCGAAAACTTGGGATGCAAGTTTCAGAGACCTATAGAGGAACAAGAAAACATCCCATGCAGCAATAGCATAATAATGGAGCCTATTTTGTAATTCGGTTTAAAAGAAAAAAGGAACTAGGAAATGGAGTACCTGTAGGAATCCCGGACTGAAACTGAGATGAAAAACATTTCCTGATCCTTGTCCGCCTTTTCAAGAAGGAATTTTTCAGATTTGTTGTGAGATTTCAAGTTTCAAGCATTTACAATGTTATTGAAAAAACATCAAACTTAGGGTGATGTACCACTATGAGGTCACCACTTTGCGAAGAGCATATGGAAGTGTCGGAAATTGAGTTTTGTTTTGGAGTTGATAATGTGAGCCCTCTTACTGAAGTTTCTTTTAGAACGGATAGCTCTGGAAGGGATCTGACGTTTTTACAACATAGTTAGCACCGGATTCAAAAACATGCTCTCTAGTCTCTACTCACCGGATAAATATGACAAGAAGATCGAAAAAGTTGGAGAGATTTTGAAATAACAAGTTCTTGCTTAGATTCAATCAAATAGAAGCAACTTCATCCTCCCCAAGTGACAGATCTATGAACAAACTTAATAAGTAAAGCATAATTCAGTGGTACTAACAATTCACATTAATCTCCTAGCTATTCTATGAAAAAAGCAAAACCGATCCTTCCTACGATGGTATTTCTGTTCCAAGGTATATGTCACACACTTAGAATTTCGACAAAGATCACAGAGAAGAGATAAGGAAACCGAGAAGAGAAATAGGGTTTGAGAAGAAATTGGGGAAAGGAAAATTAGGGTTCTTGATTTGTAATCATAAAAAACATAAGAAAAATATCTTACAAAACTCAATAATATAAAAGACAACTATGCTAATGCTTCCAAGAATCCCTAACAAACTCCGGATTCTTCGCATTTGTCCTCTTCATGCTATCCATTTCCCAGAAACGCCAACGTCTGAGGTAGTCTCAACCGCCAACCCCCTAACGACGTCGTTCCTTGCTTATTCAAAAACGGCCTCCAACGGCTAGCTTCATACGACGCTGTGTGATTAAGTGTTAACGGCTAATAGGTTCATCTGCGAACGACGACGTATTGGTCCTCTGACTTTCAACACTTAGCTTCTGATAGAGCTTCTTCTTCTGATCAGCAATTCCCAATCCAATCTTTATGTTTCCTTCTTTCATGTCAAGGGTCATGACATTGCCCTCCCCTTCATTGGATCCTTGTCCCCAAGGATAAAAATTTGGGAATTGTTTGGTCACATGGTGATAATTTTCCCATGTAGCTGCTTCCTTAGGCAAATTTGCCCATTGTACTAGAATCTCCACTTCAGCTGCATTGTGTCTCTTCACCATTCTCTTCCCCAGGGCAGCCACAGGATGAGTCAAGACCATTCCCTCTGCATCTGTGGAGGGCAATTTTGCTTGTGGTTCCACCCCAGCTCCTATCCTCTTTTTCAGTAATGAAACATGAAACACAGGATGGATGACAGCCTCCCCAGGAAGCCTCAGCTTATAGGCTACTTTGCCAACTTTTTCAATAACTTCATAAGGTAAAATCTGGAAGTTAGCTTGATGTTAGACCTGACAGCTACAAAAGTATGTTTATAAGGCTGTATCTTCAGGTAAGCCCAATCCCCTACTTCAAAACTCCTTTCACTCCTGTGTCTGTCAGCTTGCTCTTTCATCCTGGCTTGTGCCTTTAGTAGGTTTTCCCTGAGTATTGCTATCATTGTAGCCCTTTCCTTGAACCAATCTTGGCCTTCCCCTTCTGTGATCACATTAAAAGTCAAGGAGGGAGGTGCATATCCATAAAGGGCCTGGAATGGTGAGCACTGCAGAGATGTGTGGAAGTTTGTGTTATACCAATGCTCAGCTAAATGCAACCACTTGATCCAAGTCTTAGGCCTATGAAAGACCATACACCTCAAATAGGTCTCCACACACTTGTTCGCCCTTTCTGTTTGTCTATTTGATTGGGGATGATAGGAGGAAGACATACTCAGGTTAACTTGCATCTTTTTGAATATCTCTTTCCAGAATCTGCTAACAAAAACCTTGTCCCTGTCACTGACAATATCTTGGGGAACACCATGGAGCTTATAGATGTTCTCCATGAACAAATTAGCCACCATTTCAGCTGTATAAGGATGGGCTAGGGCTAGGAAGTGACTATACTTGGTAAACCTATCCACCACCACCATAATGACATCTTTCCCCTGGGACTTAGGCAAGCCTACAATGAAGTCCATTGAAATGCTTTGCAAGCCTGTTCAGGAACTTGCAGAGGTTGTAGTAGCCCAGGGTAAGCCACATTTTCCTTCTTACATCTTTGGCATACATCACAAGTTTTGACTGCCTGGATCACCTCTCTCTTCATGCCCTTCCAATAAAACAGCTGCTTAAGCCTATGATATGTCACTTGCTGCCCAGAATGACCACCCATGGGGTAATTGTGCATCTGATTCATCAATTTACTTCTCAGATCACCTGTGCTCCCAATATATATCCTCCCTTTGTATTTGATCAACCCTTCCTGGACAATCAGTGTTGCATCTGCTTCTGCTACAATCAACTGCTCTGTCAAGACTTTGGCAGCTAGTTCATCCTCATCATAGCTTTTTAGGAGGTCCTCAATCCATAGAGGCCTAACAGTTGAAATTGACATGAGCTCATTTGGTTCCTCACCCCTTTTCCTGGAAAGAGCATCAACCACACAATTCTCCCGACCCTTCTTATACTGTATTTCATAACTCAATCCCAATAACTTGGTGAGGTCCTTCTGTTGCATGGCAGTAGTTATTTTTTGTTCCAGCAGAAACTTTAGGCTTTGGTGATCAGTCCTAATGATAAAATGTTTCCCACACAAGTAAGGCTTCCACTTATCTATGGCATTAATTATAGACAAGTATTCCTTCTCATAAATGGATAAGCCCAAATGCTTAGTTCCAAATCCCTTGCTAAAATGATACGGCCCAACATAATGAAGATCCATTAAGAGTACCAATTGGGCCAATCACAAGGCCCATGTCCAAATAATTAAGATAACTCTTCATTGGTTATGTTCAAAGATGGTGGAAATCCAAGTCAAGCCCAATTGCAAAAGATGAAGAAGAAGTCAAGGCTTTTTTTTTATAATTGTTTAAGTGCTAATTTTGGGGATTAAATTAGGCCCAAATCAGCTCTATTATTTTTGGGCATTATTATTTTAAATTGTTTGACATTAAAGAGAAAACACTAGTTTGTATTTAGAAAGGATTTCTTAAATCCCTTTCTAAATAGGACTATATTTACTTGCTTTCTAGATTAAGTTTTTGACTCTTTTTCCCATTGTATTTAGGATTACAATGCTGCCCTATAACCTATAAATAGGGCACGTCCATATCAGTTTTAAGGAGACTTTAATTCAATAAAATTCTTAAGTTTTTCTTTACACTTGTGTAAGAAACCTTATGGCTAATTGTCGACTCAATTAGTGTTAGTCGTGGACTCGACTAGCAAATTGATTCGTGGACTCGAATCAATCTTCCTTTCTTCAACCTTAGATTTAGGTTCGTGGACTCGTTCTTGAATCGAAGGAAACTAGATCCGACTCTAGTTGATTGAAGATTGCACCATCGAGGTACTTGAAGCTACAATGAGATTCTTCTAAGTCGTTGAGGATTCGAGACAAAGGGTTTCTCGTGAGGTCTAAGGTATTTTGATCCATCTCTATCTTTACTTTTGAGAGCATTCTTGGGACAATATTCCATCTTATTTGAACCTTAGACTAGGTTCGTATCATAAAATAAGCTACTGACTTTCCCTCTTGCATAAGGACTGCCCCCATCCCTTTGTGGCAAGCATCAGCCTCTACTACAAACCCTTTGTTGAAATCAGGTAAGGTCAGCACTGGGGATGTGCACAAAGCCTGTTTCAATTCCTCAAAGGCAGCTTCTGACTCCCCACTCCATTGGAAAACATTCTTCTTTAACATATCAGTGAGTGGCCTACTTATGGTACCATAAGATTTGATAAATCTCCTATAGTACCCTGTAAGTCCCAAGAAACCCCTCAACTCTTTGATGTTAACTGGTTTAGGCCAAGCTGCCACAGCAGATAGCTTCTCAGGGTCAGTTTGCAAGCCTTTTTCAGAAATTATATGCCCTAAGTACTCAACTTCTCCCTTAGCAAATGAGCATTTGCTAAGCTTGGCCAGCAACTGATTACTTCTCATAAGTTCCAAAACCTCCCTTAAATGCTTCCAATGACTTTCTAGGGTAGGGCTATGCACCAATATGTCATCAAAGAAGACAAGAACAGATTTTTTAATCAATAGCCTAAAGACATGATTCATAAGAGCTTGGAATGTGGTTGGGGCATTGGTTAGCCCAAAGGGCATTACCTTAAACTCATATAATCCTTGATGTGTTCTGAAGGCTGTCTTATACTCCTCCCCTTCTTTCATCCTCACCTGGTGATAACCAGCCCTCAGATCCAGCTTGGTGAAGACCTTAGATCCTTTTCAAAAACCTCCTTTTGAATCTGCCATTTCAACCCCTTACACACTGAATCACAAGTCAACTTAGCTCTATTGGCCACTGTCACTATGAGGGCCTCAGCCTTGTCAGGCACAATCCTCAATTGGTCAAGCACCTTAGAATCAACAAAGCTATGGGTGCTGCCACTATCCACCAATATGGTAACTGTTTGCCTACTAATAGTGCCCAACAACTTAATGGTGTTTAACCCCTCTCCCCAATTACAGCATTTAGGTCACCTCAACCACCTCCTTCTCAGGTGTTTCTAATGCATCAGATTCCACATCCTGGTCCCCTTTAAACTCCTCTTCATTTCCCTGGAATTCAGCTCCTTCTATAATGTTGAAGGTGGGACCCTTACATCTATGCCCAGGGCTCCAAGGTTCCAAGGTTCAAAGCACCTAAAGCATCTATTCTGCTCTCTGAGTTGTTCCCTGAATCTATTGATTTCAAGGGTTGTGGCCTGGGTTTGGGGGGTGTTTGAAGCTGTGGTTTTGGTGGAGTTCTGGCTGGGTTGGGGTTTATTTGGTTCACTTTGCCTAGAATTGAAAGTTCTGGTAATTGGTTGGGTTCTTTGGGCAGTGTAGGATGGTTTTTGGGTAGAATGGGAAAGGGTTTTCTGTAGTTCACTCACTTTAAGGCCCTTCTCAAACTGCCTAGCCAACCAAATGGCATCCTCCAAGTTAGTAGGCTTAGATGTTCTCACAAAACATCTAAGCTGCTGCTTCAATCTCACAATAAAACTGTCTAGGAAATATTGATCTGTCAAATATGGATAAATCTGCAACAACAAGCCTTTGTACTCCTCATATTTGTCAGAGAAATCAATCACATTACCCACTGTTTAAAGTTTGAAAACTCTTCCATCACATCCACATTACTTTCACAAAACCTTTTACACACTGCCCTAGCAAACATAATCCACTGGAACCCTTCCCTTAGGCCATTGAGGTATCCCTCATACCATAGGGCCACCTTCCCACTTAGATTCACACATAGAACATGCATAATTTCATCCCTGGGAATCCTAGCTAGCATGAAAAATCTCTCACATCTCACCACCCACAACCTGGGATTTTCATAATCAAAAGCAGGAAACTCATTTTTGTACCTCATCATTTGTTCACCCCCTTGGTTGTTCTGTCCTTGTCTTGCATCAAAGTGAACCCTTCTTGGCATCCAAGGTCTGTCTGCTCTCATGGGGTTCACATATTGACCAAACTGGTTCTCACCATGGCCTTCATCCTCATCAGAGACCTCTTGCAGCTCAGATGGATCCTCTACTGCAGGCTCCTTGCCTGGTCTCCTCCCAAGGCCAGCACTTTCCTCCCCAGGACTGGGATGTGGAGGATGAGCCTGACCATGAACTGAAGAAGGCTCTGTCGATGGTGGAGGAGGCCTATTGAGCCTTAGTAACTCCACAATCTCATCTTTCCAGCCCACCATGTGAGCTTTCAGTTCTTGAAAGGAGTCCTCCATTGTCTGCAATCCAGTGGCAAGCTTCCCATTTTACTCTATCATCTGAGCCTCCAACCGCCTCATTCTATCTTCCATTGATGAGGTAGGAAAGTGGGCTCTGATACCAAATGTCACACACTTAGAATTTCGACAAAGATCACAGAGAAGAGATAAGGAAACAGAGAAGAGAAATAGGGTTTGAGAAGAAATTGGGGAAAGGAAAATTAGGGTTCTTGAGTCGTAATCATAAAAAGCATAAGAAAAATATCTTACAAAACTCAATAATATAAAAGACAACTATGCTAATGCTTCCAAGAATCCCTAACAAACTCCGGATTCTTCGCATTTGTCCTTTTCATGCTATCCATTTCCCGGATTCTTCGTATTTGTCCTCTTCATGCTATCCATTTCCCAGAAATGCCAACGTCTAAGGTAGTCTCAACCGCCAACCCCCAACGACGTCGTTCCTTGCTTATTCAAAAACGGCCTCCAACGGCTAGCTTCATACGACGTCGTGTGATTAAGTGTTAACGGCTAATAGGTTTATCTGCGAACGACGACGTATTGGTCCTCTGACTTTCAACACTTAGCTTCTGATAGAGCTTCTTCTTCTGATCAGCAATTCCCAATCCAGTCTTCATGTTTCCTTCTTTCATGTCAAGGGTCATGACAGTATACTTCTACTTGTTATGGGTCAAAGATTGATGTTTCAGAGGTCTAAATAAGCACTCATACATCGAGATTTTCAAATTGTTAAGAGTCCCACATCTATAAAATAAGAGAGAACATATGTGTTTATAAAGTCATGTGTTAAACTAACTAATTGGTTGGATTTAATGTTTTAGTGTGGTTTGACCCATGTGCATTATAGCCCAGTTGGTATGAGTCCCTTTGGTCCCAAACCGAATCTGTGCAGGAAATGCATTTTCAAGAAAGAGGAGAAAATACCTTATTTCAACTTTTCCATTTGAAAAGAGAAGAATGAGACGAGCCTGAGGACCATCAAAAGTGGAAGCCCAGCAGCAGCAAGAAGAGGAATCGAACTTCGTTTCGTAGAGCACTTTTTTATCTCCCTGTGTATAAATATATGGGAATGAATTTGCACAAGCCTAATTTATATTATGTTAGATATCCAAGTAACATGCCCGCTTACCTGAACTACATGCTCCAAGGAATACACATAAACAGCTTTTTCAGAACAGAGTAATACTAGTGGTAGCCTTGAGGCATCAGAATTCCCCTTATCTGTGTTCTTGCAATCTGAAATGCTAGATCCACTACTGGACTTTTCCTGTGCACCTGTAAAAGCCAAGATCGAAGAGAAGATCGAAAACTGTATACTTACTGATTTGTGTAATTCCATGAATAATGTCGAAAAACTAGACACTTGGAATACTAAAAAATTACCAATAATCTGCATAAATAGAGCTCGGGAGGTCTTCGTAGGATGAACTATACTAGGGCTTAATATGTTCCCCGTCTCACCATCAAGAGCCAACACTGATGAATCTCTTGTAGCCACCACTAGAACATTCTTCTCAAACTGTGAAGAGATGATATCTGGGCATGTGCAGTGTTTATTTCCTATGCTCCTTTCATACCTTAAGCTCAGGCCCTCAAAATCAATTAGTGAGACCTGTATATAAAACCACTTAGAATTGGAATATCAAATTTAGACATTGAGCTAACATGACGACGCAAAGTTTGAGCATGCAAGGAAGTCTGTAACACCATCAGATAAACAGTGTGCTATTCCTCCAATAACAGTACTTTACTAACACAGTATAAATCATTCTATTCTTGCAATAACGGCCCAACCAAATAGTAGGAAAAATAAGAAATGTAAGAAAGAAGGCTCACGTATCCAACAGATCCAACACAAAAACTTTTTCCATTTGGGTTCACAGTAATAGAAACTACAGCTCCTTTAACCTTCACAAGCTTAAGACTTTTGATAATTTGATTGCTACCGCTCTTTGCATCTGGGGCAAAGGCCTTGGATATATATTTATAAATACGAATCTGCAAAACACATACGTGTTAGATGTTAGAAGTAAGCTCTAATGCACTAAAATCTACTCCCATATTCTTTTCCTTTGTCAAAAGTCGAACATCACCATTCCACTTTGATCACCGGAAATAAGGATATCTAAGTTGTGGACAAGGCACAATGCTGTCACTGGCACACCACTTAAAACAAAGTTGTCTTCGCTCTGCGTGGTGATATAAGATTGTATTAAGCCTTATTTGAAAAAAAAACAAAAATAAAAAAGTGCAGTAAACCAAACAGGCTTCATTATCATCCGAATGTTGTAGAGTTCTTTGGCTCTTTCTACCTGTTGAGTGAGTGATACAATTGGAAGCAAGAGTGGGCATGATACATCCCAAAAATTTATGGCTCCATTACTATGCCCTGTTATGTACAAGTTCTTAGCCTTTGAACACTTGACCGAACACGCTGAGTTAGAACTAGTTCCACCTTCGTCCTTCCTCTTAAAAGGAAAAAGAGGAAATATATCTTTGGTCAGGGGATTACAATCCTGCATAACAAAGAAACAGAGAGCCAAAGTTTTCCGTTGTCCTTGCAAACATGATATATGGCAGAAAGTACGAGAAAAAGTACATACCTGATTCCCTGAATGTGACATGTATGGGTTATCTGTTATGAGTTTTGCAACGGTGATGCTAGAATCAACAAATGGCAACTTCGCCCATATTTCCTTTGGGGGTGAAGGTGGGGACTTGGTCCGGAATTTCAACAGGTACCTTTCTACTGAACTATCATCATATGCATAAACAACACCCGACTTCCCAAGCAAAAGGAATGCATCGTATTTCTGCTTGCTTGGTGCTTTAAAGCTTGAAATAATCTCCATATCAAGACAATACTCAGGTGGACGAAGTCCCAACAAAATTGTGGGTGATTCATTATCCTCATTCAGTAAAACTACCTACAAAATAAGTATTGTTCTGCTCAGAGACAATTGATTATTATATTTTATAAACAATAGACTAGAATACGAATATGATATTAGTCAATAGTTCCATAAAGAGAATGTGAAGACTAGAGGTGACAATATGAATGTTCTAGAAGTACTAGATCAAATGGGGATATGGCCACCATGAATAGAATAAAAATGAGAACTAAAAGAAAAGGAAAACTCACTTGTGATAAGTGCTCATTATCAGAGAAGCCTGTAACATACACTCGACTTGCTTTCCCATCTGCATAAGCCCATCTTAACTTGGCTATAGGGATATTCATTGATTTATATCCAATATTCAGTTTACGATGAGCATTTGGAGGGGTAAAAGAAGACTCTTTGAAAGATTCTTGTTCACTTTTCAAATTCAAAGCAGCTGGAATGGTCCAGATAATTATATCTCCATTGCTGTATCCAACAACTAATTTAGTTCCATTAGGGCAAGCCCAACAAGCTGATGTTGCTTTTTTAGCATCATGATATACTGATTGCAGTGCATTTTCTTCAATTTTAAAGATGGCTTTGCTTTCTTGAACTGCCCACAATATAATGACACCATCTCGAAAAATAATCAGAACCCTGCATCAACAGAAAATTTCACACGTATAAAAGGGTTTGACTATCAAATGATGTGATACATGCTGGGATGTGTGATTATTTAGGAAGTCTTATTTTATAAGAACTTTTTTTTTTTGAATGCTACTGACTCTATTACATTGTAGTATCTGTTCAAACATACTTTATCAACCTAATGAAGCACAAAGAGTCAACAACGCCTCCACTGAAGCTCAATCTCATGACCTCCCATATGGGAGAGGTCACTACATGCCATCTGAGCACAAGGTGCTTGGCCTTATTTTATTAAAACTAAATTGCATAGTTTAGATATTAAGAAACTATAAATAGTTAGTTAGCTTATTACATAGTTTAGTTATTTGGAAATTACTAAATAATGATTTAGCTTGAGTGTTATTTGGAATACTAGATGTTCTAATCTCTGTATTCCATACAATTGAGTCAAGAGTATACACATATTTATACTAGGCTATGCACACTAACTATGGTAAGGATCAATAATATCCCTAAGATATTATACACACTATCCCTAAGATATTATACTGAGATCATATCAAATATTCTTCTACCATATAATGTCTAACACTCCCCCTCAAGTTGGAGCATAGATATTGATAATGCCCAACTTGTTACATAAGTAATCTATTCGAGGCCCATTCATAGCTTTTGTAAAAAGATCTCCTAGCTGTTCTCCTGTCTTCACAAATCCAGTAGAAATTAAGCCTCGTTGTATCTTTTCACGAATGAAATGACAATCAACTTCAATGTGCTTGGTTCGTTCATGGAAAACAGGATTGGCTGCAATATGGAGAGCCGCTTGATTGTCACACCATAGCTTCGCAGGAATAGAGGCCTTGAGCCCTATTTCATCGAGAATGTGATATATCCACAAGATTTCACAGGTTGCCTGTGCCATTGCTCTATACTCTGACTCTGCACTCGATCGTGAGACAACATTTTGCTTCTTGCTCTTCCACGAGATCAAGTTTCCACCAAAGAAGACACAAAATCCGGTTGTAGACCTCCGATTCTCCTTAGACCCTGCATAGTCTGCATCTGCAAAGCACTCAATGTTCATATGTCCATGGTTTTGATATACAATTCCACGTCCTGGAGCACCTTTCAAGTAGTTCAGGATTTGTTCAACAGCTTTCCAATGATCAATAGTTGGAGATGCCATAAATTGACTTACAATACTTACTGAGTAAGCAATATCAGGACGAGTTACAGTCAGATAATTTAGCTTACCAACCAATCTTCTATATCTTTCTGGATCATCAAATAGCTCCCCCTCTGATGTCAACTGTGAATTAGGGATCATTGGAGTATTGCATGGCTTAGCTCCTAGTTTCCCTGTTTCTGTCAATAGATCAAGTATATATTTTCTCTGGGAGAGAAGTATACCTTTCTTACTCCGTATTACCTCAACACCTAGAAAATATTTTAATGTACCAAGATCTTTAGTCTGAAATTGACTATGAAGAAAGGTCTTAAGAGATACAATACCAGCGGTGTCACTTCCAGTGATGACAATGTCATCCACATAGACAACTAATAAAATAATGCCTTTCTCAGAGCGTTTATAGAAGACAGAATGATCAGACTTTCCTTTTATCATGCCAAACCTCTCAATCGCTTGACTGAATTTCCCAAACCATGCACGAGGGCTTTGCTTAAGGCCATACAAAGATTTGCGAAGTCGACAAACCTTACCATACTCCCCCTGAGCAACAAACCCAGGTGGTTGCTCCATGTAGACTTCTTCTTGAAGCTCACCATGTAGAAAAGCATTTTTAATGTCCAGTTGATGTAAAGGCCAATTAAATGTAGCAGCCATAGAAATAAGCAATCTGACAGAGGTCAATTTTGCAACAGGAGAAAATGTGTCAGAGTAATCAATACCATAAGTTTGGGCATACCCCTTAGCAACTAGACGAGCCTTCAACCGAGCTACAGATCCATCAGGGTTAACCTTCACCACGAACACCCACTTGCACCCAATGGCCTTCTTCCCTACAGGTAAATCTACCAAGTTCCACGTACCATTGAAATCCAAGGCATTCATCTCCTCAATCATAGCGTTACGCCAACCAGAATGGGACAGTGCTTGTTTGACAGTTTTAGGAATTTGTATAGAGTCAAGAGAAGCAATAAAAGAGCAGGAGATATGGGGTAAGTGGTTGTAAGAAACAAACGATGAGACAGGATAAGTACAAGTTCTTTTACCTTTGCGTAGGGCTATTGGCAAGGTAGCTGGATCAGACGACGAAGAATCCGGCTCAGGACATGAATCTGGCGTATTGTCAGGAACCAAAGTAGTGTCGGGATTCGGGTTAACCTCTTTTGGAACAGACTGGTGTTTACGAGAATATACCTGAGTAATTGGTGGTCGGGAAGGTGGAATAGAAGCGGAAGCGGTGGTAACCGTATAGATGAGAATATCATCATCACTGTCGCCATGGCTTTCTGAATTTGAAGAAGGTGAGAAGGAAACATCTTCATGGAAGGTTACATCAATAGACACGAGATATCTTCCCGTTGACGGACAATAACACCTATACCCCTTTTGAACACGAGAATATCCCAAAAAGATGCACTTTAAAGATTTAGGATCTAATTTCGTGATATGGGGCCTTACATCTCTCACAAAGCAAGTACATCCAAATGTTTTTGGTGGAATAGGAAATACAGATTTGTGAGGGAAAAGACACTGATAGGGTGTTGTACCATGTAAGACCGAAGACGGCATACGGTTGATCAAAAAACAAGCAGTAGAGACTGCATCAGCCCAAAAATGTTTTGGAACCCACATTTGGAACAGGAGAGCCCGAGCAGTTTCTAGTAAGTGCCTGTTTTTGCGTTCAGCAACCCCATTTTGAGATGGGGTGTCAACACAGGAAGATTGATGTAAAATTCCATGTTCAAGCATATAAGAGGAAAAGGGTTCAGAAAAATACTCTTTAGCATTGTCACTTCTCAATACACGAACAGGTATATTAAATTGTGTTTGTATCTCAGCACAAAAAGCACGAAAATGGGAAAATAATTCAGAACGACTCCTCATAAAATATAACCAAGTCATGCGAGAGAAGTCATCAACGAAAGTAACAAAGTACCGAAACCCGGTTTTGGACATAACACGACATGGACCCCAAACATCAGAATGAACTAACTCAAAAGGAGCACGTGCTCGTTTATTGACTCTAGGACTTAAACTAACTCGATGATGTTTAGCAAATTGACAAGACTCACAATTTAAAGAGGACACCTTACTAAATTGCGGACACATCTTTTTCAACAATGGTAAGGATGGGTGCCCTAAACGACAATGGACTTCCAACGGAGTACCCATCCCAAAGCAGGCAACAGTTCTCGGTATACTGGAATCAAGAATATAGAGGCCACCAGACTCATGCCCTTTACCAATAATCTGCTTCGTCGTAAGATCCTGGAACATGCAGTGAGTGGGAAAAAAGGTTACGGAACAATTTAGAGCATTAGTGATTTGACTAATAGAGATCAAATTAAAAGACAAGTTAGGAAGGCTCAAGACCGAGGATAACGGGAGATCAGGAGTCGGATTAGCAGTGCCAATCCCAAGCACCCTAGAAGTGGATCCATCAGCTAGAGTGACATGGGAAGTTGAAGGAGAAGATTGAAAGGTAGATAGGAGGCTAGAGTTACCTGTCATATGATCCGTGGCTCCCGAATCAATAACCCATTTGGAAGCTGAAGAGACGAGGCAAGTGTTGGGATTACCTGAGGTGGCAGCCGCTACAGTTGAGGGAGATGATGAGGATTCTTGGTACTTCAGGAACTTAGCATACTCATCTGCAGAGAATACAACCGTTTTCTCACCATGAGTATCAGAAGACACCATATTGGCAGACCGATTGCCCTGATTTCTATTTTGAAGCTTTCGGCAATCCTTCTTCATGTGCCCCGGTTTCTGACAGTAATGGCAAATGATTGGATTATACTGCTGGCCATGAGGATCCCTATTGTGATATGACGACTTCACAGGCTCCCCCTTTGACTTCTGACTGACAAGAACACTACTCGACTGAGGGGGTTGATAGGTCTCTGTGCGTAATACTCTAGAGAATACATCAGATAGGGATTTGAGCTCCTCACTGGATAATATCTGGGACTTGGCTGGTTCTAGTCGAGGATGAAGACCAGCCAAAAAACTCATGATGGCCATTTGTTCTCGCTGTTGTTGCTGCACCTTTATATCCGTTGTGAACGGCATTAATTCATTAAGAGCCTCATATGTTTTCTTGAACTCCATAAAATAAGTCTGTAGAGGTTTGTCAAGCATGTCGGCCCTATAAAAAGCCTTACAAACATCATAGATTCGAACAATGTCGCCCTTACCCGAATACAAAAAATTAAGATAGTCTAAGAGCTCTTTGACAGTTTCACAATGACTAACAAAACCAAATATTTCAGATTCAATTGAGTTCCGTATTTGAAGAAATAATTTAGCATCATCAGGCAACCAAGTTTGCTTAGCTTTGTCATCCTCGGGTGGGGTGGCAGTCATATGGGCATCTTTGTCAATACTACGTAGATATATTTTAATGGTTCGTTTCCAATCCAAATGATTTGAGCCATTTAATTTGTGTTCTGTGATTCTTGCATTAACTGGAAGAATATCGGACACAACTATAGACTTAGGCTTAGACATTAGGCTATCCAACAAGAAGATATCTCAAATCAGACAACCAAACTTCCAGAATCAGACCTCTAAGCCACAACAAACACACAAACAGCCACACAACTTCACTGTCTTGCAAAGCAAAAAATAAGAGGGATATTACCGGGACCTCCAATGCCAAAACCGAGCCTAGAGCAGCGACGTAGACGACTGGGCGACCTCGGGAAAGTAGACCGGAGTGGATTCCGGCGCCGGAGTGACGCACACGCGCCGGCGCGTGGACAGCCGGCGATGGACGAAGGCGGCGCGTGAGGGCCACTCGCCGGGCGAAATCACGTCGAATTCAGCAGTCCGGCCTATCGGCGACCGGCGACTCTGCTCCTGATGGTGGTGACGACAAACGGCCGGCGACAATCCCGACCCAAACCTCCACCGTGCGCAGAAGCAGAAAGAGGGAAAAAAAAAAAAAAAATTCTGTGTTTTTTTTTTCTTTATGTGGCTCTTGATACCATGTTCTAATCTCTGTATTCCATACAATTGAGTCAAGAGTATACACATATTTATACTAGGCTATGCACACTAACTATGGTAAGGATCAATAATATCCCTAAGATATTATACACACTATCCCTAAGATATTATACTGAGATCATATCAAATATTCTTCTACCATATAATGTCTAACACTAGACAAGCAGAAATTTAATCCCAAAGAAGGGACTAAGGGAGTTTTAGGTCTCAAGCAAACCAAAGATTTTCTTTTCTTTTTTTCCTTCTTTTCTTTTGTGTTTTCTTGCCCATGACGAAGAACCCATCTCATGATGTTTGAGGTTAATCTGAACCTATCCAGAAATTCAGTATTCAAGATGCCAAGGAGAAAAGGTTAATTCAATAAATGGAACTTTTTAAAAATCTCCAATTTTCACCTTTCTTATGTTGAACAAGTATGTTGGTCAATAAAAGACATGATTTGGTTGCCAAAGTATTATATGTTAACAAAGAAACTGATGTAAAACATTTAATCCAGAGCAAGACTAATTCAATGAAACAGGAAACTTTGCCTTCAACTGCCACTCATAAAAGTTCTCAGTTAAGAAGTATATTTTGGTAGATAAAAGAGTTAAAAAATCTGCAGCAAGAATGATTAGGAAACTGCAGATATGGAAAAGCTACCTCTTAGTTTCTGCTGTAGGTTGAGGCAGGATTTCAACTATGCCAATGTCCCCAACTTTATTTGAATTCCCTATATGAGGATTACATATTGGTCAAATATCAAGTATCGCATAAAGGGTAATGGAGACTTGAAGAGAAAGTGCTCGTTTGATAAGTAAGGATATAACACACACATCTGTATTTGGTGAGCAAGTATCTCTGTATTCTATCATGATAGTGAAGATGAATAATGAAATTAGGTATCATTCTCACCATGGGATTCTGAAAAAGGTATACGATATTTCATCCTCACTACATTGCACAGTTCTTTTTCAAACTCCAAAACCCAAACATAACCTAGAGAATCTCCAATATACCTGTCAAAACACATGAATTAGAAGCTACATTACTAACATAAAGCCTATGGGGCTGGGGCTAGGTCTAGGGCAGAAACACTTACATATATGGTGTATGTTGAATAATTTTAAAAGAGGTGATATCCCTCTTAAACTCATGAATATTTGACAAAGACTTCTGGTCTACATTCCAAACCTGAACATAAGAGATCAGATTAAAGTTGTTCATTTTGACACATGGATGAAAATGAGATACTAGAAGAAAGGGATTCTATTGAATGACTTGCCTCAATGTGGTTATCAACATTTATCTTAATGAGAAAGCCTTGGTTTTCCATAAACTGCAAGACAAGAAGAATCAATTAACTGAATTCTAAGCAATATACTATGTGCTAATGATACCAAGAAATCAACTTTTGGTCTTTGATGGCCAGGAAAGACAAGTAACTGATAGGATAAATATGTTATACTTCATATTAAATGACAACCTGCAAGAATTTGCTTGGTACTATGTTAGGAGATTCCAGTAGAGCTTGGGCACCATCTTTTCCAAACAATTTGATCCTGCCATCTCTGCAAGATGACCACCAAACTTTTACGGGCACTAAACCTAAGAATGATCGTCTCTAGGCAAATTAAAGCGCCTAAGCAGCAGAATACTTACTTGGTTGAAAGGGCAAGAATTTTCTGAATGGAGTCATAAGCCAACAGAAGAGCTCCCGGTGGAACTCCATAATGATATGCTAAACGGGGGTTTACATTTAAATTCCCTACAGACTGCAAACAAATACTCCCTAGTTTTAAAACTTAATTACTTATTAATAATACTAATAACTAGAGTAAAAATTTACACCAGGACTATGTGGTCCAATGATACCCGGGTTGGACTTCCATTTAGAAGATTGTGAATTCAAGCCTCAGTGGAGGCGTTATTAGCTCTTTGTGTTTTAGTAGGCTAGTAGCATTCAAAAAAAAGAGTAAAAATTTACAATTATATTTGAATCGCTTTTAAAATTCGGTGAAAAAGAAAATTTTAATTTTTGTATTTTTTGACAATTATACTAATTATAATATCTAACCTCTAACATAATTCAATTCTCTTGATTTATGTATTAATTTGTGACTATATGGTTTTTAATGGACATGACCCACCATAAAATCAGGTTGAAATTGGGTAATGGGTGCGAAAAGTGGATTGAATTAATAGGGCATAGAGCCCTTGAATTAATACAAACGAGATGCAAATGTATAATAAACAAAGAGAATGATTTGACCCAAGGGGCCACCACTGCTAACTAGCGGACTGCAAAGACAACTAACGTGATGTGTCGTTGACTGAGGGAGAATTCAAGAGAGAGAGAGAGAGCTTGTGATGATTATTTGGAACGGAGACCCATTCCCTTTTACACTACTCCTAGGGTCGCAAGTCACGGACAGGTGCGGGCCACAACTCTTTGCCCTCCTTCACTGTACACGTGTCCCACAAGGTGTCGCCCTCTCCAGACAAATATCTTTCTGCACGCCACATTCTAATCATCGCCAATTGCATCGCTAATTGCCTAAGCGATTTACCCGCTCGAGTGGTTCGTCCGATCGCATGAGCGATCCGCCCTTCTGCCACTCACCTGGGTGATCTGTCATAGCCGTCGAACCAAGCTGAGGCCCTCTGATTGCTGATGGACGGCCAAGGTGCTCCAACAAGGGACTAAAATGCGCCAATACCGGGACTAAAATGGGTGATTTTTTTTTGCTAAATTAAAGCACCGGACATTAACAAAACAATCAAATTTTCTTATATTTAATAATAAAAACAATAGTTTACTATTTAAATGAAAGGATTTAATAATGTAGAAATTCTTATTTTGTCGTTGACATTCGGACGGAAGTTTAGAATTTTGTTTGGACTGATTAGTCCCATAATTGATATTTATAGAGATTTGAATTGTTGCTTATGCGCATAAATTTAGGGTGTTGATTGTTAATCATAGTCTTGATCACTTATTTCACATATTTTCTATGGCTAAGATATGTCTTTAGTAATTATGTGAAATGGTGTTCTCATGTGAATGCATACATTTATTTCATTCTGGTGCATTTCCAAACAATGTGTGGTGCATTTATGCATATCAAATTGTGCAATCTGCACCGACCGCACGGGAAATCCTGTCATCATTTGAACCAGTATCCACACACACAAACATATTTTGGATTCTTTATTTTCCTGTCTCTTTTCTCTCTCATATCTTTTTGGGATAGAGTACAAATAAGCCACTGAACTATTTGAAAAACATTAATTAAGTCACCAAACTCAAATAACCCCCAAATAAGTCATTGAACGCAGAAAAAAAAAAAAGAGTAATTAACATTTTTAACAAGTTAACTTCAAGTTTTTTATAACTGAATTGACAAATGTTTATTCTATTTACGTTTTTTTTTTTTTTTTTTATAAAATCCACCTACATAGTAATATATTTTAAAGTAATTATAATCAAAATAATTTTGTCTTATCTAGATTTAATTTATTTATTTATTATTATTTTTAAACAGAAGATCCAATGAAAAATAATAATAAAGAAATAAATCAATCAAATCTTTATCTAAAAATAAAAATAAATAAATCAAATCTTGACAAGACAAAACTATTTTGATTATAATTACTTTAAAATATATTACTATGTAGGTAGATTATAATAAAGGAAACGTAAATAAAATAAACATTTGGCAATCTAGTCAACAAAAAACGCAGAGTTAACCTGTTAATTGCTCTTTTTTTTTTTTTTTTTTTTTTTTTTTTTTTTTAGGGGTTCAATGGCTTATTCAAGAGTTATTTGAGTTCGATGAGTTAATTGATATTTCTCAAATAGTTCATTGGCTTATTTGTACTTTATCCCTATCTTTTTCAAATTATTATTATTATTATTACCACCCAGAGCATTTGGGAGGGTGTAAATAATGGTAACTCAACTGAACATGAACCACAGAGGCTAAACCTTTGCTCACTGCACACAAGGAACCCCCCTCACTTTGAGAGGTAGCTCCCACACTGCCGTTGGTGAGACTCGATCCCTGATCATTCTTCCAAAGTTTCACCACACTGCCCATGCGGGTTACTACTAATTAGTATTGTTGTTGTTGTTGTTGTTGTTGTTGTTGTTACTACTAGTAGTAGTAGTAGTTGTTGTTACTACTACTAATTGTTGTTGTTGTCGTCATCTTATAATAAATAATATGCTCATTTTTAAGAAAATGAATCCAACAGAAAAAATTCGATTTCTTAACTTTAAGCTTTAAAAAAATGATAATTTTCTAAACTTCAACCAAACACCAAATTTTTTTTTTTTTTTTCAAAAAATTAGTCATTTTCTAGAAATTATTTTCCAAGATTTTAAAATGGACCCTAAATTTATAATTAACCTACTGGGCAGTTTTTTTTTTTTTTTTTTTTAATTTCAAAAAAATTAAATTAATATAAAAAACATGATCCATAAGATCAACATAAATGGAAGGTCTGGATAAATTCCCACTTTTTACATGAGTGTTCTAAATGCATAGATTTGGGATCAAATGCGGTCAGGTTGCTAGGTGTGATTGTGCGGACGGTGCAGACAACACTGGTGCATTTGAAAATGCTTGACAGTGCATATCAAAAGTTGAAAATTAATTAAAATGGGGAAAACCTGGGTCATTTTTTGTAATTTTCACGGTGCATTTGAAAATGTTTGATAGTACATTTAAAATGGTTGACGGTGCATATCAAAAGTTGAACATCAATGAAAAGTTTGAAAATGAGAAAAAATGCGGTAACATTTTAATAATTTTTTGTAATTACAATGGTGCATTTTATAATGCTTGACGATGCATTCGATGATAGCTGAAAGTGTATTTAGAAACTCTTATGGTGACATGGGGAGAAATGTGATAAAATCATGTAGTGCCGGTGCATTTGAAAATGCTTGACAGTGCATCTACACGTTCGCACTTGGAGACCTGTCCACACCTTGACTTGGGCCTATAAAGTGAGGACTTATTTGACAGTGCATCTACTTAGTCGTTGATAGTTGCTGAGAAATAATGGGAAAATAGGCGAATTTATTTTATAAATATTACAAACTTGAATACTTACATTAATTATAAAATTGACTTATGTTTTTTTTTTTTAAATTACTAAAATCCTCAACCATGGATGAGCTCTGATAGGCGGTTGTGATCAGTCATCACTTTTTACATGGGAGAATTATTCTAATTTAAACTTACGCTATAGATCTGCTAGAATTATCATTTTTGTCTTGATGTATCATCATTTTATTAGATAATTAGATATATAAACTCTTTGTAAACTCAACGTGTAGTTAGCTAATTTTTGAACTGCGTATAGGACACGTAGTTGAATATAATTGTTTTGTGATTAGTGTTGATGAAATAAGATTGGTCAAAAATTAATCGGAAGGACCAAATGCAGCAAAAATATAATAACCAAACACTAAATGAAAAAAAAAAAAAAAGTTATGGATAAAATTTGAAAAAAGTGTAATAGTCATAAAAACTGAAGATTTGCTTAAGTTTAAAGGTATTTAATGTGACAACTAATCATCAAGACTATGTGGTTTAATAGTATTTGGATTGAACTTTCATTTGAAAGGTTGTGAGTTTGAGTCTCGGTAGAGGCGTTATTGGCAAGTACGTGAACAGCTACTATAGGCACAAGTGTCAAATAGGCCTATCAACTACTAGGAAGTGCTCAATTTTCACCATGAACTAAATTAAGTGTCAAATAAGTCTATCTACCAGCTAAATTCATTCAATTGGCCTTTTTTACAGGTTACCAACAGGTTGCCTATTTAATTATTAAAATAAATAATTAAAATTTTGCAAAAAAAATAAATAATTAAAAAAATTAAAATTAAAAAAAAAAAAAAAAGAGAGAACAGGCGAGGACAGCCGGTGGCTGCCATTTCAAAGACAGCCGTGGCTGTCCGGCGAGGACAGCCGGACAGCCACGACTGTCTAATATGAGGTCCAGATCTGGACCTCATATTAGACAGCCACGACTGTCTTTGAAATGGCAACCACCGGCGAGGACAGCCGGTGGCTGTTTTTTTTTTTTTTTTTTTTTTTTTTTTTTTAATTTGTTTAATTATTTATTTTAATAATTAATAGGCAACCTGTTGGTAACCTGTAAAAAAGGCCAATTGAACAAATTTAACTGGTAAATAGACCTATTTGACACTTAATTTAGTTAATGGTGGGAATTGAACACTTTGCCGTAGTAGATGGGCCTATTTGACACTTGTGCCGCTACTATATTATAATAAAATCAGTATTATTTAAAAAAAAAATGACAACTAATCAATAAAAATATATTATATTAGTCAAAAAATATATAGGATATTTATTGAGTTAATACTCAAAATCGTCCTCGACTATAGTGGTTTTTCTCAATTTCGTCCTAAACGATTTTGGTGACCTAATATCGTCCCAGACTTTTGTGTTTCGCGCAATTTAGTCTCAGACTTTTGTGTTTTTGCTCAATTTAGTCCCTCATTTGTTATTCTGTCCATTTGGTGTTAAATAAATATTCAATTAAGTAATTTTAATATTGGCATCTCTTTACTCATAGACATGTGAACTGCGAAATTCCTTTTTTTTTTTACGAATTACTCCCAGAATTACTCATAAAACTGCGAATATAAAATTTGATTTGCAGGTCCGGGAGTAATTCTGGGTGTAATTCGTACAAGAAAGAGGAATTCCGCACTTCACAAGTTGAAAATAAAGAGAGATCAATATTGAAATTACTGAATTGTCCCTTTATTTAACACCAATTTGACGAAATAACAAATGGAGGACTAAATTGAGCGAAACACAAAAGTCTGGGACGATATTATGTCACCAAAGTTGTTTAGGATGAAATTGAGAAAAATCACTATAGTCGAGGACAATTTTGGGTATTAACTCGATATTTATTATTGTGAACGATTTGAGACAACAACTATATGAATGCGTCAACTTCATTGATTCATATATTTAGGGAGGAGAGGGCAGAGCAGTACTGACCTTCTTGGAAGAAGCCTTCTCTACGTGTTTGTTCTTGGAGGATTGCATAATTTCATGGATCCTTTCCAATTCAGTCAAATGCTAATCACCCTCAATTCATCTGGAAATTAAAGATGAACCAACTTTACTCAGCCTCAACAAATTCTAGAAGCAATTCAAGGGCGCCATTCTCATAACTTTCGGAACAAATATTCTCTTAAACCTTCCGGTTTCAGTTTAGATTTGCATATACTTTTTTTCTTTTTGAGAAAGATTTGCATAATACTTAATACAGATCCAAATACAAAAAATTCAAATTCAATTGTATATTTAGGGAGAGAGAGAGAGCAGAGAAGAGTGCTGACCTTCTTAGTGAAAGAAAGAAGCCTTCTCTACGAGTCTCTTTTAGAAATCAATTTACTTACAAATGTTGTGAGTAACAAGCTAGTATTGGATCAGTTTGTATGAACATATCTTAGTTAGTAGTATAAAAATAAAAAAATAAAAAAATAAAAAAAGAGCAAGCTATTACTGGACCCAGTCCGTCAGTTCTTCGTTGGCAACCACCCCGGCAATGGTACATACAGTACTCATATCACAAGACATACAGTACTCTTATCCACCCGCTGACTTTGCTAAGCTAGTAGAACTCAGCTGAGTCACCTGGAAAATTAAAAAAAAAAAATTGTTTCTTGAATTTCCAATTAACAACTAACTCAACTGGAACCAACCAATTGATTTTACATTCTTCCAAGTTTGGAATGATATTTTACTATTGACAACTAACATCCCAACACAAATCATTTATGCTTTTAAGTAGCATGCATCAAACCTTAAGTAACACACACACACACATATATATATATAGACAAGAAGATAAAGTGCAAAATGTCTCCCAAGTGAAACATGCAGATTAATGCTACAAAATCAACAGCCCAGATTGAAGATAAATTTTTTTAAAAAAAAACGCAATAGCATTATGGTAATTTTGCGTATTATTGTTGAAAACTTAAGGTGTGTAATTGTAAAGTTTAGGTGCGTAAGTTCAAAGCTTAAGGTGCATCCCTTTGATACATAAGGTGCGTCAGTTCTACACTTAAGGTACATAAGTTCTACACTTGAAGCGTCATTTTAACACTTAAGGTGCGCCAATTCAACCTTAAGGTGCGTATGTTTAAAGTTTAAGGTGCGTCAGTTTAAACCCTAAGACGCTATGTTTGAACCTTAGTCTAGAGTCCCTTTGACATACCTGAGAACTCATTTGAGTGTCACTCAGTGCCCAATGTTTGGAGAGTGCATGAACTGACAAAGGAGAGATCCGGACGAGTGACGATTAGGTACTGAAGTGCCCCAACAAGGTTGTGGTACTGCTTAGCATTTTCATATGGTTGACTTGTGGTTGTTGCATTTAGCTTACTGTTAACTATAATTAGGGTTGAGATGGGTTTGCAATGTTCCATTCCTAACATTTTGAGTATTTCAATCATATATCTTCTTTGTGACAGGATCATAGCCCCCTAGTTATTAATTGTCACTATTCTTAGAAAGAAGCTCGATGCTCCCATATCTCTTATTTTGAAGACATCAGTTAGCCTGTTTTTAATATAGAAGTCAAGAGACCTTTATCACTGCCCATTATTAGTATATCATTAACATAAACTAGTAAATAAATTTGAGTGTTAGCAGCTAAATAGATTAAACAAAAAAAAAAAAAAAAAGACATTAGTTTTTGAAGCCTTGAAAGTTGATTGAAAGTAAGCAGTCATTTAGACGTTTGAAACATGCACGAGGTGGTGCTTGTTTCAAACCATAGAGTGATTTCTATAGTTTGCAAACATGATTAGAAAAATCTTTGTCTATGTACCATGGCGGTTGATTCATAAAAATATTCTCACTTAGGGAGTCATTGTGGACATGCATCAAGTTGGCGAGTTGACCATTTTTTTTATTTTTATTTTTTTTATGGCAAGAGATAAGAGAAGTCTTACTGGTTGTTGGATCTTAGCGCTGCACTATGCGTCTATGCTTACTTCTCAGTGGGTCACTCATCTTGTAAGTTAAGCACGCTTAATCACAGAGTTCTTTGGTTATCTGGTTGACATATCCTACTTAAAACCAATTATTTGGTTATCTGGTTGTCATATCCTACCTAAAACCAATTTGTGATAAGTAGGTGGACATTAACCATTTAACCATATCAATCCATGGTAAGCTACAACGCCACATCTTTGATTCTGCAAGCAGTCCAATTAAAACCTTGACTTTGCCAAGATACTCACTCGTAGTGGAATCCCCTTGACGACTCAGAGTATGTGGCCATGAGGGGGACCCAAACACAACTTCAATAGTTGTAATAGGGCCTGGGACGTGGCATGTCCTGCAACAACATACATAATTTCATCAGACAAAGACGTGATGAGTATGGACAAAATAGAGAAATTTTGACGGACCTAATTTTCAACCGCTGGATTAGTTAAAACGGAACACCTATCCGGAGTAACAAAAGAAGCCAAGTACAAGAGCGTACCATCAACATATCCACTAAGATTTTTACCGTGAAGAAAAGGAACAAGTTGAGTTTTCCAAAATAAATAATTGGAGGAGGTAAGTTTGAGGAAGATAAAGTGATGAAGTATTTATTTGGGCTAGAGGTGGGTTGGGAGCCACGGATCGTTTTGTTCTACCATATGAGAGCAAGAATTTTTAGAGAGAGTTTTATTATTGATCAATCATATCTACAAAGTACATGATGGTATTTATAATGATACAAAAGATAGTCATAGCTAAAGCTAACGAGTAAAAGTAGGATTACAATAATATTCAAAGATAAAGTAAGAATTCTAAAACTGATAAAATACATAGTCCTAATACATTTGTTTATACATTATATCTATTGATATAAAAAATTAACAAAAGAAAACAAAAAAGTACTTCTAATAATACAATAAATAATTAACTTTTTTTGGGAAGAATAAATAATTAACTTTTAATTTTAATTTTTTTCTGATATGATAATTGATAAGTTTTATTTGTCAGGGCAAGCTTTGAAGACAGCAAATATTGTCCCTGTAACCCCAAGCATATCTTGTCACGTTAAGCAGGCATACAAGACAAGAAGTACTTTCTTCGTTTCATTACTAAACGTTAATTTATGGTTCGCACATAAAAATTAAAATTTGAATACATTACAATAGAGTTAGTAGTTAGTACTATTCAAGAAAAAAAAAAAAAAAAATTTCAACAATATTCCTTCGACTATATTGATTTTTCAAAATTAGTCCCCGATTTTTAATTTGGACACTATAGGTCCCTTGACTTTTAATTTCTTTCCAATTGAGGTCCTTTCGTCAGAATACAGTTAATTGGACTTTAAATAAAGGGGTAAACTCGTCATTTCACCTGCCTATGTATTATTCTTCGTATTTCTCCCTTCGTATTTCGCTGATATACCTTATAAACATCTCAATAATGGAGGAACACACACACGAGCAGTCAGCAAATGGGGAACGACGAGGAACATTCTAGGGCTTCGACTGAGATTATCTTCATATATATCGCGTATACAAGGGAGAAATACGAAGAATAATACATAGGCAGGTGAGAGGACGAGTTTACCCCTTCATTTAAAGTTCAATTAGTCGTAATCTGATGAAAGGACCTCAATTGGAAAGAAATTGAAAGTCAAGGAACCTAAAGTGTTCAAATTAAAAGTCGGAGACTAGTTTTGGAAAATCAATATAGTCGGAGGACCATTGCTGTAATTAACTCAAAAAAAAAAACAGAAGGAAATAGAGTATGTAGAAGCAATCGTTATACCCTGCACCACGGCGCACAGTGCACTGTGCGCCCTGCGCCTCCCAAAACGACGTCGTTTTGGGAGGCGCGATAGGAAGTTGACATGATTATGTATATTTGTTTATACAATTATGTATATTTTTTATTATGTACATTTTTTATACAATTATGTACATTTTTTTATACAATTATGTACATCCGGATCAGGAAATTTTTGTGTATTATGTTAAGAGTTGATGTGTATTATGTAAAAAGTTTATGTTTATTATGTATTATGTTAGATTATGTGTATTATCTTTTAAAAAAGAGTGTGTATTTTGTTATATAATTATGTACATTCATGTATACAATCATGTGTATTCTAGTATAACATTATGTACATTTTTGAACATGAAATTTTTTTAAAAGAAAATTAACTGCCAAACACTGGGTAGCGAAATTTAAAAAAAAAAAAAAAGAAAAAAAAAAATTGAAACGACATTGTTTTGTATCTGGGCGTACAATGCAACGCGCGCAGGTGCAGGATATAAATTGCCATGTAGAAGTGTAGAACCCAATTTTATTCTTTTATTGAAGCATAATGCGTAGAGCCTGGGGGGCCATCACCCCCGTCTTAATTATATATGAATATTTTTTTATATCTAGCGAACACCTTGGATCACTTTAAAAAAAAAAAAATCAAATCAAATCAAATTTTATACTATCAAGTATCAAATATAATATGACTTTATATGATTAATTGATTGATGGCAAGCCAATTCATGCATGAGTAACTAATGTTGCATCGAATTACTAATGAAAATTGAAGGTTATTACAAATGTCACAACAGACTGATACAAAAATTTTAGGAAATGAGAAGAATAAGAATTGTTAGACGTAATTATTAACTCAAACATAAATTTTCTGTAAAGTAAAGATCAGGATATGTAATTTTAGGAAGATTCAATTTACATATGCATATACATATGTGGTTCTGTACACTGCTTTTACCAAAGAAATAAAAAACAAGAAGCTCACTATGCACACTAATAATGACCATTTTGCAGAACAGAACACATCCATAACATACTGGTTTGCATTCTGCAAATATTGAATAAACGAGCCAAAAGAGGCAGGCGAAAATGTAAAGAGGCGGAAAAGAAAGACAACCAAGTACTAATTGGACTATAAGGGACAGTGTGTGGAGGGAGGATCAGGATTCAGGAACTTGGTTTATCATTTCCTTTCTCATTCCCAGCAAATTTCAGCACCTCTTTAGCCATGGCAGAAAATGATCTGGCAGTATCCTGCATCTCAGCTGTTCTAAGGTTGATGCCCTGCATGCCCAACAACCCAGAAAAGTAGTCATAGTATCTTGATCCTTGCTATTTTAAGACAAAAACTGAGAGATAAAGTATGAAAAGGGTATACTAGTACCTGCAATTTTCTCAAATTTTCACTGAGCTTTGATTTTGCTGCTTCTGCAGCACTTGTTTCCTGCATTACAGGTTGGAGTATTCAGTTGTAGTCAATTACTATCAAGGCACTTGATTGGTACTAGATGTAAAGGATGAATGCTTACACTTGAAGTGTATCCATATTTTTTCTTTATTTGATCAACAGCACCAGTCTTCTCATCCTGCGGTGATTCAGTAACTTGAACTTTGTCATTT